GTTAAAGCAACTCCGCGTTGACTGAACTAATTGTTATCAGCCTTTCTGAAACCGAATATTCCGAGTTGGACAGTTCGGGGTTACTCAACCCTGAGTGTTGTTTTTCACTCTGAGTTTTCTAAACCGGCTTCCTGAAATAGGGCCCAGTTTATACATTCAGATAAAACTGAGGTTATTCTATTAGGCTCTGAAAATCCCAGAAATGTGGTGGCTAACCAGATGCTGACTCTGGATGACATTACCTTGGCCTTCAGTAACACTGAGAGCAATCTTGGAGTCGTTTTTGACCAGGCAATGCACATTACAAACAAATATGTGGTTCTGCACATTCATGCATATATTACTTCTAGGCCAGACTATTGCATTCGATTTTTATCAGGCTGTTCTAAAACTTCCCTGAAAAAGCCTTCAGTTGATCCGAAATGCTGCAAGAAGAGTACTGACAAGGACTTGAAAAAAAAAAAGAGAGAACATTTTGTCTCAGATTAGCTTCTCTTCTTTGGCTCTTTGTTCCTCCAGAATCAAATTTAAAATCCTTCTCATCACATACAAGGTCTTGAATAATCAGGCCCCATTTTATCTTAAATACCTCATGGTGGCAGTTAACCATCCCTCACTTTTTCCTTCCCCTTGTCACCAAGTACTTGCTCAAAGGGGGTCATCTGATTGTTGAGCTTTTGTCTCTGATATTGTGGGGTGTTTACCTTACAATATCCAATAAAAATACAAGTACAAAGCACTTTGAGGGAACAGTTGCTGTGATTTGGCACTATATAAATGACATTGAATCCAACTGAAAATTCCCAACATTTCTTTTCTGTATTTCATTAGTGAACTATAGTATTAGTGAAACTATGATTTAAATGTAACTAGACTTACATATGTACCTGTGTCTTTTCTATTGTTATTTGCTACTGTTAATTGTTACTGTTCTTAGTCTCAGTCTGGTTTGTCTGTTTTCCATCAAGGCCCTTCTTTCGGCTCATGATACAATAGCTCTGAAGGACTATGAGCCGGTGTTGCCCCCAATGCCAGAAGACCTGCCGGACGATGAGGAGGCCACCCGGATCGTCTGCCTGGTGAAGAATAAACAGCCACTGGTGAGATTCCTGAGCTTACAGTATACCTCCTCAACAGGCAAATGAAATCTGGTTTGTACAGATGGTTCTGAGCTGAGTAGAACATCAGTAGACCAGCTGTTTAGGAACTAAGCAAGCTTTTAATGAGGCAAAAATCTTTTGTTAGGTATGAATCTAATTTATTATTATCTCCTTAATTAACAAGCTTACTGGGACGAGGAAAATCGAAACCTTTCAGTTTTCAAATCAAAGTAGAAAGTATGTAAATTAAATATTAATTCAACGTAACTATGGCCAGTCAGTCCCCCAACCAGGGGGAAGTCTCTGGCTGTGTCTAGGAGAAACTGGTCGCAAATAGGAACATGGTGCTGCACCTAAACCCCCTTTTGATAGCTTTGGCTTTGGTTGTAGGTTTCATAGAAGACGCTAACAAACATTCACTAAATACTTGCTAATTGGCTGCAGGCTGTGAAGAGTGCAGCACAAACTTGCAACAGAGACCCTTCATCTTCAAAATACGTCACTGGATGATGGTCGGTGTCTTCCATGCAAACTATGGCCAACTCCAGCAATCTGCTAGTGTCTAAAGCAAACACAAGTAGGTTTTGAGGGCAGAGTTATTTTTGTGTACTCTTATTATGAAGGGATAGAGTCCAAAACAGTTTATTTTAAACATATTTATTTCTGATTTAATGCTGGATAACTTACATAGGAGTCTTTGGGGTTTGCTCCAGTTACCACTTTAAGCTTTGGCTTCATTTTGAAAGTGCTGCTTTGTTTGTTGTGCGCAGTGCATGACCTAAAAAGAGGCATCCACATACTTTTGAACTTACAAAAAGTTCATTGTATTTTAGGTGGATGCAGAAGTGGATATAAAACCAAAATCATGTGGAGAAGCAGGAAACCTGACTCTTTAATCTGGACCATGAAGGAGTTACTTTTTTTCAGGACTGTGTATGTAGGCAGATGCTCCTGAATATTTTAATATGTTGGGTTTTTGGCCAACTCAAAATAAGTCAAACAGATGACAGAGAGCAGATGTTTGATTCATAATCTGTCATTTGTATAATTGTCTGTTGATGCTACAGATAAATTTCGAAGAGCAAAAGCCATTGGAATAGAAAGGAAACAAGACAGTTAGGAGACATCTGATGCTAATTTATCATCTGTCTCTATATGTCTTAAATGCATGCAAATGATTACTAGTTCAAATCTTGCTTTATCCGAGTGGAACATGATTCTGTTGTCTCACAGCTTTGCAACCACCACAAAGTTGGCAAGCTGTTGCCCAATGCTTGTCCTCCCTGTGCAAAAAGCCCCAGAGGGGGGATCCGCCATCACTTGAACACCTTGAGGCGTTTGACCCGACAGAAGCTTCACAGAGGGACAGGGTTCGGGGTCCAGAATCCCTCAGCTCAGAGTTGGATGCTAAAAGCAAATGATTCGTCATGGTGCAGAGTCCGGAGAGGAAGCTACCCGCCAACCGAGCCAATGCATCACCTGACAGAGGCTAGACCATACCCGTTACCACAATGTAAGCCTTTGACTGGCTGCCAGGTGTGCTGCAGCACGCCGATGAGCCAGTGCAGAGTTTGTTACTCCAACATGTTGTGGGAGCAAAGGTCAAATCGCTCTGCACCTTCAGTCTGCAGTTCGGTCCTGATTGGTAAGGAAAGATCTGGGCCTTGTTTTCCAATGAGTGCATCTTTGTACTGCTTTTATTTCAACCTCTAAGATGCTTTTGGAAAACAAGCTGGTTCTTCATCACTTCTAATTGCACTGTCTTCATCCATTCATCCATCCCATTCACTCATGGATTAATAATGTCTGTTTTCTCATTGGAGACGTGGACGAGCTCAACAGTGGAGACGAGTACGAAGTAGGACAGTCCACTGGTGCTCCATCACCATTTCCCCAACGTTTGACCATGACTCCACCATGTCTCAGCATGCATGATTACTTCCAGCCAGGCCTGTCTCCAAGGTTCAGAACTAAAAGCCCTTGCATTCGAACAGCCCCACCCAGCCCCATGCGGCCTCACCGCATACTGGAGGTGCCGCCCGTGGAGCTCGTCAAACAGGAGAGTCTGGACGAGCTGAGGACGACTGTACAGTTGGCCGCCAGCTCCATGGAGAGCAGCACCAAAGACATAAAGCTCCTTGGGGAGAGGATGGCAGCAGCCACAGAGCACATGTCGGTGACAGTGCAGGACAACTCGCAGGCTTTGCTCCTCCTCACGCAGGTTGTGGACCGGTTGCAGACACTCCTCACAGCCACCAGATCTGAAGTAAACACCCTTAAAGCTGCTGAGCAGGAAGGCACTTTGAAGAAAAGCCCAACTCAAAAGCCTCAAGGGCACCAGTCCCCATGTTCCTTCAGCTCCTCCTCCAGCTCCCTCAGCAGCTCCTTGGACCCTCCTTCCACCTCCCAGTTGGGCAGCTGCCAGTCTCCGTCTTGTCGTGGATCTCCCTGGGACACAGTGAAATCAAAAAACTCTCCTGTGGCACAGAAGAAGCACAGCCACACTGATCTGGAAACATCCAAACATCAGCTTACAAATGGCCTGTTTGATGAGAAGTTCAGTCCCTTGAAAGGAGGTCGCTCAAACCAGTGGAAGAAAAAGAAGAGGAAGAAGGCGACATGAGAGCTGTCCAGAAAGTGGCCTTCTTTGGGTCCTTTGTAGGAGCACCGTGGCTACCCTGCAAACAGTGGTAGTTCATGTTTCTTTTGTCTGTTTCATTACATTTCATCTGTGGCAAATCAGCTCCAGTTTCCCTTCGCTTGTGTCACTATTACGTTATTTAGGCCTGAATTAAACCTTCAAGTCTATTCTTGCATATCCATCAGAGCCACATCTGTCCATTTTATCTTCATTTATCTGACCTGGCAGCAACTGTTTATTCTGTTTTTTCATTTCGTCTTTCTCAGGGAGCAACTATAAAAAGAAACGAGATCACAGGAGAGATTTTTATAGCTCGGGTGATTCACGGAGGGCTTGCGGATCGCAGTGGTGAGCCCTTTTTTTTTTTTTTTTTACCCCCGTTTAACCCCCTATAGCTAATGTCTGTTGTTTAGATGAGTAAACCCTAACTCTAATCTTAACTCTAGACTTTTACTGGAGGATTCCTAGATTAAGCCTAGTGCCAGACTAAAAGAAAACATCCGTGACGATCTACACTGGAAAACATCTGACACGTAGAGCTTAAAGTTATGCATTAATGTAAAACTGAACTTTCTGTGCTGGTGCTGAGGACAAATTGTTTGCAAACATCTGTTTTGGGGCTTTAACTTCATCTTGCACTCTTTATTCTGCAGATGTACACAGACCATCTGATTGTGTTCGTTTTCAATGTTGGGATGATTCATGTAGGAAGACAAAAAAAAATCTTCCTGGTCAATCTGCTTCCAAATTCTAGTGCTAGTTGCAATCAAGCACTTTATATAAAACATGGATCTCATCTATTGATTTTTGGAGCTTCAGGTTGAGATTTTTTTGGTCCATAAGACAGTAACTTTACCTTTCTTTATTATGTAGTTTTCACAAGTGAAGACAAAATTAGAATCATGTTGAACTTTTTACTGAGGTCATGAATAAGGTGGTGGGTAGGGTCTGCACTCCTAGACAAAGGGATGGATCTTTGCTTCCAGAGAAGCTTCCCCCTGCTGACCATTAGGGGAAAAAATGCAGGTTTCTCGTATTTCTGCTTTGGCATCACATTTCAGACCCAAAGCTTATACTATATGGGCAAAAGGGCTGGGCCATCTCCACATTAAATCTACAGGAGCTGCTCAGCCATGAAGCTCATAGGTTTTGTGCTGATGTTAATGCTGGAGGAGATTTGGAGCTCTACAGTTATCATAAAGACAGGGTGCATGGCTAGGTGATTGATTTTAGACACCTGTGCCAATGGGACTCAAAATACCTGAATTCAAATAGTAAAAGGTGTGGCCCCGTACTTTTGTCCATGCAGTGTACGTCTATATTTGTTTTTGTCCCATTTTGGGAGCATTTATAAGACAATCCTAACAAAATAAAAGGTTCAGAACCAGAGACATGGACTGGTTGGGTTGGACAAAGTTTTTGTTCATGCAGACAGGACTTTCTTCTTCTGGTTACAGACACATCCTCATGTGGCTTTTACCTTTACCATGAAAAGAAATGTAACTTTAGACAATTTTAAAACATCCACACTGGTTATATAGTATACTAAAGAAGCTCTGACAGGCAGCGATTGGACCTGTAAGCTTTTAAATGACAACTTGTGCTTAAATTTGATTGCTTTTGTTATTGATTATAACAATATATTGATCATGTTTTTGTTGAGGTTTTAGTGTATTACAAACAAGATAAACTACAGTAGATTAAAGCACATAAAAGTTAACAAAACTAAAGAAAACATGAAATGAAAAACTGATATCTTTTTTACAGGGAGTGCAGAATTATTAGGCAAGTTGTATTTTTGA